GGAAGTTGTCAGGGCAGAGCTTAGTAAGGATTAGGTCATTGGTATGAAAAGCAATATTGATTTTTAAATCTAATAAAGCTAAATCAAAACACAGTTATTGAACATATGCAGACGGAGTGACTACTTGTATGTAACTTGCTCTTTGAAGAACAAGGGCTTAAACCTGAAACTAAGCCCTTTCTCCTAAATGTAGGAAGAGAGGCTCCGCCGTGTAACTTAAGCGAACATATACAAAGCAGATTTAGGCAGACAAAAGCAATATAAAGGATTAATTGCCTGCAAGTATCACAGCAGGGACAGCAAGAGGTTGCTCGTAAGTACAGCAGAACATCTCAAACAACCGGCGGTCAAAGTTTTTCAAAATGGAGCATTGGAAGGACCAGAGTGCAGGGCCATGTCTTTCCAGCATTTTGTGGATTACTGCATTTTGAATGTCTCTACTCCTGAGGGGAGCAGGACAGGACATGCAGAAGGGCCTAGAAGCTTAAGGCAATGCCCTCTGGGGTGCCAGGACAGTTGGCTGCAGTGACCATGAGATGGTGGAGTTGAAGATGTGAAGAGAAGGGAACAGGCCAAAAGGCAGGACCACAGCCCTGGATTTCAGGAGATCACTTTGGCCACTTCAGGGATCTGTCTGGAAGAGCCCCATGGGACACAGCCGTGGAGATTAAAGGGCTCCAGGAAAGCTGGCTGATACTCAAAGATTCTACAAGCTCAAGAAAGATCCATCCCAACAAGTAAGAAATTAAGCAAAGGCTGCAGAAGGCCTGCATGAACGAGCAAGGAGCTCCTAACTGAACTCAAGATAAAGACAGGTGGTGTACAAGAGTCTGAAGCAGGACAGGTGACCCAAGAGGAGGAGATTTGCTATCTGATCTTGTATGGAGGGTGTCAAGAAAGCCAAAGTCAACCTGGAGTTGAATTTGGCAAGGGACGTGAAGGGCATCAAGAAAAAAAAGACGACGACTAGGGAAATCACAGGTTTACTGCTGAATGGGGGAAGGGACCTGGTGACAAGTGGCACAGAAACGGCCATGGCACTTAATGCCTTCTCTATTAGTAAGACTGACCCTGAGACCAGAGGGAAAGTCTGGAGCAAGGAAGACTTACCCTTTATAGAACATTTAAAAAACCTGGACATACATAAGTCCATGAGGCCTGATGGGTTGCACTCACAGGTGACGGGACAAGAGGCAATACGCACAAATTAAAACACGTGAAATTACTTCTGAATACAAGAAATTAATTCTGACCACAGTAAAACATTTTTTTTTTTACTGTGAGGGTGGTCAAACACTTGAACAGGTTGCCCATAGAGGTTGTGGAGTCTCCACGCTTGGAGATATTCAAAACGCAATTGCATATGGTCCTGGGAAACCTGCTCTAGCTGACCCTGCTTGAGCAGGGACATTGGACTAAATGATCTCAGGAGGTTCCTGCCAACCTAAAGATTCAGTGATCAAAAACTTCTCAAGGATTTTCGTGAGGCACCTCCCACCTCATCTCCTCAGTTTCATTACTTGTAATACACATCGGATAACCAAACCATATTAAGCTAAAGGTAGTTCTTCCATCAATTTTCTTTATGCTCACTTAGGCTCGATGAATATAATCTGTTTTAAAGATAATTAAATCATCACGAACCATCTTCTACTACTTTTTTTCTGCTTGGATCAAAGGTCTCAAGCTTTGAACTTAATACTTTTTGAACTTATGAACTACACAAGGTAATTGCTGGGAAAATAACTTACACTGTCGTTGTCAAATCTAATGGAAATGAGAAGCACTGTAATTCCCTAGAAGTTTTAAATTATTCCAACTCCATAAAAATGTAAGAATTAAATGAAGAACACATGTGAAAAATGCTACAATGAAAGTTGAAAGATCAAGTGCTCAATGACAATGACAATTCAAACGTTCAGTCTGGTCTCCCAGTACAAAGTGAATCCCATAGCATGACATTTGTTCTAGCTCCTGCGACCATATTTTTCTTAAAGAATGATTTTGCAAAGAAAGCACTTTGTTATGAACATTTCCCATATAATACATAAGTATGTGTATCCCAGGCCCGCTAAAACTCCCTAAGAATCTTCCATTTTTGCAACTTTTTGCTCATGTAATTTAAGAAAGTCTAGGGTAATCAAAGTCCAAAAGAACAAATATAAAGGTAAGATAGCATTGAAAATGCTTAAAAATATATGTGAAATAGTAAACAAATACACAATCCACCATCAATAACTCCTCTTTCCCTTTTTTTTTTAATTAGCTCTCTAGCATCCTTTGCAATGAGGCTACTTCTCTATTTTCACACACGGTTGCCTCTGGCTATCACATACTGCCACCATAAAACTGTTAAACGTACTGTGTCTCCAAGCCTCAGAAAGCTATTTCCGTAGAGAAGAAACTAGTCATAAGTATTTTTAAAAGATGCAATGCAGCTGGCAAGATTTCTTATCTGTGTCTTTGAAATACAAAGAACAGAAAGAAAAAAAACCATAGCAACATCAGGTCACAAAACAAGGAAAATCAAAGAATTAATCATTTTTCTGAGGAATGCTTCATAAGGAAAAAGGGCTGCATTTCTTTGCTACAAAAATTTCAGTTCAGCTGGCATCTGGTATGTCTACCAGATACGATGTATCTGCTGCTTCATGATACCTTCTCTGTAGCTGTACGTTCTTAGGACATGAAAAACTTTGAAGATACTGCTAAAAAGCCCGGAAATGTCTGTTTACTCATCACAGAGTAATGAAGAGTTTGCGACAGAAAAATGCTTGAGAAGTTCCTAGAAGTGTATCACTAATGCCCTTTTTCACAGAATCACAGAATCGCTCGGT